CTGGTTCTAGTTTTGGTGCATAAGTGCCTCTAAAAAATGAACTGCTAACCAAGACAAGCAGCGTGAAAAAAATGCCCTTCTATTAGAGGATGTAGATTGCCGTTGAGACAAACTCTCAATCTATGAATATTTCAGAAGTATATGTATTATTAGCAGCTCGCTTTGGTTTTTACAATGGACTATCTATAATTTTATATGTGTTCCGGACTGCGAAAATCCAGGTAAGTCATGTTCACAGCTACAATCGATTTGAAACTATCAAGCAGGATCTTGAAACTAGAATAGGATATATTGAGATATTGTCTCTCTAAGGTGCAAGTTTGACATCCTAAATTTTAGTAGGGAGTTGAGGATATAATCATTTTTTTCGATTTATCTCATACTGTAAACGTAACTCTTTTCAATCCATGGATTGGACCGATATTGAATTTTGGGTAGGGTACCATATATTTGCTTGTTGAGTCTTTTGGGACGATGAAGGCAACTCGCGAAAAAGTCAGACTCGGCCGATTCAATGATATTCCATTTGGAGCCATACAAGAAGGTGTTTTGATAATCACATGAGACTACGGTACTAGTATTTGGAATACGAATAAAATCGGTCGAGTCTGACTTTTTGGGAGGGTTTGAACCAGGGTTGTTTGGATATAAGGTAATCGAAAACCCGAATAACCGAACTTTTATTCGTGTATCCATTCGGATATCAGCCCCGGCGCCTAAGTGCGGGTTCGACTGTTGACCCTTCGTCTGAGGGGTGTAGTTTCACAAACCGTTCGTCTTTCTCGGCCGAAGGCCGAAAATTTTTTCCATAAGGGGGGACCCTATTGTAATTTTTCTGAACTTTTTAGTCAGATTGCTGCTGATGAAATGTGATAACAAACAAAGGATTTCAACAATACTATTATGTTTACGCGTTCTTAACCAAGTAGTATAAGCATAAACTAATAAATAAGACACCTAACAGGCTGAAATGGGAAATTTAAAAAAAGATAAAATAAGTTTACATCGAGGGGAATTGAACCTACTACCTTGAAATTGATAGACAAGACTAGATCCACTGAGCTAAATCGCCGAGGTTTTACATTTGTTTGAAAGTTAATGAGAAGAGAGAGAGAGAGAGAGAGAGAGAGAGTGCTGTAACCGCGCTCAAGTATGAGGAGGTACTACATGACTACGAATATCGATTTCAAGAAAAGTTTTTCCCAGTATTCAAATAGATTTATGAATGATACTATCCTGCAAAAGCGAATATTTCCAATATCAGATAGAAATGTTTTAGTATATCAGAGTTATAGTACAAAATAGGTCTAACACTGGAATTAAAAATGTGATGCGTAAGAGCTAGATGTCGAGACAAACCCTTAGTGAATTCCTCTCACTGAGTGGATCATTTTGGTAAAAAAAAGATCCTATAATCTTCAAAAATGACAGAGTTATGCTGGAAAAACCGATTTTGGTGCAAAATAGGCCTAATTCTAGATTTAACGATGTGATACGTAAGACATAGATGACGAGACGAACCCTCACTGAATTCGTCTCACCGAGAGGAGCATTTTGAAAAAAAAAGTTCGAGAAAAGATTAAAATTGAGCTCAGAAACACCAAATCTTTTTACAAATTTTACAAATGATGTTCGCGGCTTTGCCGCTCACTACTCCGGAGAAAATCGCGGTACTTTATATATATATATATACAGTACCGGCCATATTTATACGAACACCCCCGCTTTTCAGTTGATTTTAGTCAACTTTGAGCATGCGCCAAAAGGTCAAAAATTGTTCTACGGCTTCAAAAAATTTTGGGCGTATTAAGCATAGCTAGAACTTCATTTTTGTAGTTGACAACTTTTTTGTGCAACCACTCTCTCGAGAGTTAGAACTCGTCTAAAACAACCACCTCAAAAATTGCTCGTTATCCGTAGGAAACTCGATGATTTCATGGGTCCTTCATGAAAAGAGCTTTAACTCTTGAGAGAGTGGTTGCAGAAAAAATTTGTCAACTACAAAAATGAAGTTCTAGCTATGCTAGATACTCCCAAATTTTTTTGAAGCCGTAGAAAACTTTTTGATCTTTTGGCCCGTGCTCAAAGTTGACTAAAATCAACTGAAAAGCGGGGGTGTTCGTATAAATATGGCCGGTACTGTATATATATATTTACACACAACCCTCACTTCATTTTTTATATATAAGAATGATAATCATTCTTCTCACTTATTCCTACACGGAATTACACCCTTCTGAAGTTCCTTCACTCAAAAAAGAGATGCCAAAGTGTGTTTTTCTCTGACACACTAACGGACAAACGGCTGGTAGTAACGAGAAAAAAGAGATTTGTTGTTACCAGGAAGGCGTCTTTTTCTCTTTTTCTAAACTCTTTGGATCACGGTATCTCGGCTCGGGATAATCGTAGAAAAAAGATTTTTGGACAGGCTTATAGCTTGAAACTAGCCTAACATTTTCAGTTTGGTTCTGAAAAAATTGAAGAAATACAAGACTGAAAATTAGACGGATAACATAACTTATTCAGTTTTGCCGTCAGACATTGAACGCGTTATATTATAAGAGCTAGAAAAATGCACCCATTCATCCAACAAATTTTGTTAAGATGTCTTTTTTATCCCGCTTGATCTGTGGTTTGAAATCGTAAATCTTCTTCTCCCTCTTATCCAAATAATTCGGAAAGTGACAATTCAGAATGAACAACTCAACCAACCATCAATCAACTTCTGGACCAGCGCCTCCAAAGCCAAGTGGGAAACGTCCAAGTTCCAATACACCAAGTCCCACTGGAACTGTACCGAAGGGCTCTAACAAGGGAAGCCACTTTGCTCGGGCGTTCAGAATTTTCTGTAAATTGGCAGATGAACTAGGATTGGACCCCTTTGAACAAAAATCATAGTGAGAAGGGCCAAGAATGCCGAAAAAAAATTTCGATTTTTTTTGTGAAATTTTTTTCAAAAAATTTTTTCGAATTTTTTATTTGTTGTTTTTTGAGGTCAGCTTGACCCCAAATTGATGGTATCATCGAATGATGCCGCATTCCAGGCAGTTTACCTTCATTTTCTGTCAGTTTTCCGAAAATTCGACGAGATATGTAAAATTGGATTTTCCGAAAAATCCATAATTTTGGGCTTTAAAATGATTTTTGATCCGTAAAAATTGGCGAGAGGCCATTTCTAAGACTCCTGATGACACCCTGTAAGTTTGGAGAAATTCTGAAAAACCTTGAAAAATTCGAGGTTTCGGACTCACAAACAGGGGGGACCAAGCACTGCAAAAATTTTCGAAAATTTTTCGAAAATAAAATTTGTTCAGAAATGATCAGAAATGGTTCCAACATGTCTGGAAGTACCAAATTTCATTTGGCGACGCTCGGAATAGACCGCAAGGCTCAAAAATGCACCATTTTTGAGCTGATTTAGTACTGGAAAATCACAAAAACTAAAATTTCCCACTTTTTTGGAATTCTTGGCCCTTCTCGTTATGATTTTTGTTCTTAGGGGTGCAAGTATAGTCCACCTGCAAATTTATAGAAAATTCTGAACGCCCGAGTAAAGTGGCTTCCCTTGTAAGAAAGCTAAGGCAGCTGAAAACGGTACCATCCTTTTTTTATATCGTTATGTACCTAATTTTCGATTTTTAGAGTCCCAGCTCACCTGGGAACAGAAGTATGCTGTCCTAAGAGAAAAGCACGTGTGGCATCTTATGCACAGTCAAGGAAAGCAGAGAGGTAAGACCGTTTTTTTTTGCTACATGTTTCATATCAAGTTGTCTTCAGAAAATAAGAAATTGACCACTCAAGTCATCGCGGGTGTTATGGAGTTGGAGATGATAAAGGAATGGACGGCGGATCAGCTGGAGGAACTGGACTTGTGGAGAAAAGGTGAGCACATTCTCTTTATGCAATGTATATAAGGTTTTTATTCTAAGGATCTATAGCCACCCCGATCATCAAGTCAAAGTTCCTGTCTCCCATGAGAACACAGCCAGCCCAGTCAGTATTGGAGCTCCTGAACTTGCGGATGCTGCTGGCTCTTCTGGACCACTGACCGAGAATTCAAGATCCTATGGAGTCCAAGATTCCATCGAACAAAACATTCTGAAGGATTTGGGGATTCCATCCAATCTCGCCAACAACTTCAAGTGTGATGAGGACTTCTCAAGTCAAAGCTGCCGGAGCCCTACAAGCTCCGCCTCTTGTCCAAACTCATTTTCTTCAACTCCCCAACAGCAACAATGGAAATCTCATTGGAGCCTACCACCAATTCATTGACGATGCTTCCCGAACTCCACAAGCTCCGCTCCTTGTCTAAACTCATCGTCATCACACTCAGTTCCCCAACGCCAACAATATCAGACTCACTGGAACCTATCTTCGAGGACCTGTGAATGATGGTGTAGATGCTCAAGCTCCGCCTCCTGAGCAGACAGTTCCGAAAATCAGATTGAGCTTCCCCAACCACACTGATAATGCTGCTGCTCAGATCAGCAGATACTAAAAGTTACTGGCCAAGGATAGATTTCTGAAAATGACTGAGAAACACGAGTAATTGTTTTTAGTATTGTTTACCCCGGTTAATTATTCAATTCTAGTTTTTATGTGATTGATCACCACTATTTATCAAAGTTAAGCGATTTTTTCTAAACAAATAAATCTTGAAGATCTTGATTTCGGTCGATTTGTAATTCCACACGACTGTCTGAAAAAATGTCTGAAAAAGAATTGCATTATTTTACGTGCAGTTTCAACATCTGCCTACACAAAAAAACACACTAAAAACAGGAAATTCAGAGAAACCTATTATTACAAGTATATCTGTTGCATTTCCTGATTTTTGATTCAACACTATCCCAAAAAGTCGAAACAGAACAGATTGCTCAAAAAACAACTATCAAATCCATACTCAAAATTGCAAAAGGCTGGAAGGACCTCCGCAGGTTAAGGTTATACTGCTACTCATTTCGCTTGCGTGGCTGAGTGGGCACGGGGGAAGGGGAATGAGAGGGTAGGGGGAATCGAACCCTCATCCTCTCGAGGCATAGTCAAACCTGTTACTGACTGCGCCATCCCCCCTCCGAAAGAGAGGGCAACCCGGGTGGTAGACATGACGGGGAGACCAGAGAGGGGAAAGGGGAGACAGGTGGCAAGGACCATTATGGCAGGAAAATATTACGGACTGTTGTTGAGTGGGTTTTCTTCTTGGTAACTAGCCTTTGCGAAATGTTATCAATGAATGAAATTTCTGAACTGGATGAACATTCCGCTTTCTTCAGGGGGCTGTTTCTATGATCTAGGTATTCATGGGCAGCTTTGGATTTTCATTCGTACCTGAATTTTAGGTATGACGTGAGTTGAGTTCATCTAATCTTGAGCTTGCATTCATTTAATTCATGAACCCAATTTCAGTTTGACGATAAAGGCAGAAAGAACTTAAAAAAAAAACGAACGATCTTGATCCGTGCTTCAGTGAAAATATTCACTCTCAGATTTTCAGAAAAATTCGAATCATTTACAATTATTCTCAATTTCCATTTCGATCGTGGATTGATGCCTTTGATTCCAGTCCAAATCCTTCTTCTGGTTATCAGTGTAATGAGTTCTAGTCATCTTGATTCCTATTATTTCAGTGAGATAAGTGACCAGAAACATCAGGTTTTTTTCCCTAAACGTATTGAATCACGCGTGAACTTATGATGTTATTTTTGTTCTATTCAACTCATGTCTCCTGTCAAAATCCGAGTGTCACTAAAATCTCTTCACGATTCAAAAGCAATAGGTGTAGCTATGAAATAACGCTTGCCTTAAAAACAATTTTAAAGAAAACATGATTTTTTCAGCTCCAGGAAAATAACCCATTCACCGTTGAATAGCTCATCTCTCGAAGTTAGCTCTCCACACGGAACTCTCCCAACTCCAACAAATTTCCCATTCTTGTTGCGCAATCCTTTAGTTTTCGGCCGACGCCCTTGTCGGCAGCAGAAAGACTTACACCTCCTTTTTTATTGAGTTTCGTCATCACAGTGACATGGATTTTTTTTTTTTGATAAAAATTTCCTTTTAAACTTTGAAAAGCCGATGACATGGCGCAATGGGAAAATGACCAGTAAGGGGCGGAGCTCATTTCGAAGGAAAAAGAAATCAGAAGCTCCACATTTTTTTTTGAGGGGGGGGGGGGTGTTACGGAGATTTCAATCTCGCTTTGAAACAAATTTTGACAGATAGAGTAAGAGATAAATTTTTCTGAAACTTGCAGAAAAGTCGAGAAGAATTATGAAAACTTTATCGAAAATGCAAATCTGTCCTGCTTTGATTTTAGAATAACCAATAATTACTCTCTGGATTATGTTGCAAGACTATCCTGGTAGATCCTACAAGTTAATTAGAGTTCTTCTTAACTTGATTCGTGTTTCAGTGAAAACATTCAATAAGAGCTCTGGAAGGACGCTTCCTTGTGAAAAAAAACACTCAAAACATAATTTTTACAGTTTCCAGAAAAGCCTATTCACCCTTGAATAGCTCATTCCTCGAACTTCTCTCTCCAGATGGGAGCTCGGCCCAACTCTAACGAATTTCCCATTCTCATTGCGCAATCCTTTACTTTCCGGCCGACGCCCTTATCGGCATCAGAAAGACCTACACTTCCATTTTTTATTGAGTTGCGTCATCACAGTAACATGGATTTCTTTTGAAAAAATTTCCTTTCAAATTTTGAAAAGCCGATAGTATGGCGCAATGAGAAATTGACTAGAAAAAGGCGGAGCTTTTTGTAAAGGGTATTTTCGGTGCGCTATTCATTGTTTCGTGGTATTACTGGGTTTTTTTCGTTACCTGGTCTTTTCTCAGTTCTCATTTGTGGGATTTTGTTGATGTTAGTTTAGTTCCATCCATCACACTATTCCACACATTCTCAAATCAAAACTCCGGAGAGTCATGGCACTATCCCGGAGCGTAAAGTTCAGGGGATGTGGAACATGTTCGAATCCTTTTTATTGGTCGATTGGTGCTTTTGATTCCACTCAAAATCATGACTTCGTCCGTTTTAAAGATTTTCTTATTGAATTCATACGAAACGAAAAATCTACTATTTTGGTAATTGAAACTATGCTCACGAGGCTTTTTTTAGACCTGCTCATGACCTTTAAAAAAAGACGAAAACTGACTGAGAATGTTCAAATCGGACGAAATTCCAGAAGATGGGTGACCAGAAACATCTGATTCTTTTTTTTTTACAAAAAGTGGTATATCTCGAGTGAGACCATTGTTAGACTTCTCTCCCAATTTACTAGTTTTGGATAAAGATCTTGAGAGACGCTTTCTTGTAAAAACAACTTTTCAAAAGAAAACATAAATTTATCAGCTCCCTGAAATTCACCCATTTACCGGTGATTAGCTGATCCCCTGAACTTCTCTCTCTCTCTCCACATGGGAGCTCGCCCCATCTTTAACAAATTTCCCATTCTCATTGCGCAATCCTTTACTTTCCGGGCGACGCCCTTATCGGCATCAGAAAGACCTACACCTCCATTTTTTATTGAGTTGCGTCATCACAGTAATATAGATTTTTTGAGTGAAAAGGTCCTTTCAAACTTTGAAAAGCCGATAGTATGACGCAATGGGGAAATGACTAGAAAGGGGCGGAGCTTCTTGTGAAGGGTATTGTGCAGTTCATCGCATTTCATCAGTCGGTCGTGGTGTCATTGGATTTTGGGGCTACCTGCTCCTTTCTCAGTTTTCAAGTCTATGATGACCTAGTTTTTCATGATAACATTTTTCAACTCCAATTTAGGATTTTGTGGATGTTAGTCTAGTTCCATCTATTTTCCCAAAGCCTGGAACTTTTGGCAGCAGTTCAGAAATACTCTCGATGACTGTGTGGCTTTGTAGTTTGTAGTTCATAGTACAACCTTTTCTGATTTCAAAGGATGTAGTTTGTAGTGTCTTATTCATGGTCTTCAGTTCAAAGTGTGTAGATCTAGTCCCTTGGATCAAATCAACATTAAGTAACTGAAATCGATTAACAAACCAAATAAGATCAGTCAGGCTAAAAAGTAATTAATCCGCTCAATCTGATTCGATCTTCCGAAGAATACCAAATCAGATTGAGCGGACCAATTTTTTGTCAGCTTAGGCCGGAGATGAAGTTTCTTTGTTGCCGATCATTCCAGTAAAACTAGGACCTTTTCTTTTTTTTCCTGCACAATCATTGTTTTTTCAAACGTTCCCACTTCTTCCTCCTCCTCATTCGAAACTTCAGTTTTGAAGTGGTCGAAAGTAAACCAATTCTGAAACATTTCAGTCACAAATGAACCAACAACCACTGCCAAACGTTCTCCCGAATAGAGCTGCTCAAAATCTTCTGAGAGCAGTCGAACAAGGTCAATGGATCCCTGTACATATGATCCCTGAGCTTGCACGCCAGATGCAGCCGATGCTCATCCCAGGAGCAGAGGACCTGCAATTGCTCCATCTCATGCTGGTAGAGTTCATTTTATACTATTCGAGAAAAAATAATGTTTTACAGGATCTTGTTCAGACCACATCGACTTACATGAGTTACTACCTCAGTAACCACGCAATGTTCGAGTGTCCAACATTCTATAGCACAGTGAGTTTGTGAATACCAATTCAACGTTTTAATCAGAGAATTTTCAGTCTGTATACTATATATACAAACTTGCACTGAAGAGAAGACAGAACCCAGTCTACTTGGACACTCTGGCTGTAGTTGTGGTGAGTTTGGGGGAGTGTTCTATGTATACTTTGTAGTTTGTAGTTTTGGAGTTTTCAATTCATGTTCTGTAGCCAATCGTTGTTATTTTTCCAGAAGCGCCGCCTTCGGGATCTCTTTCCACACGCTGCATATCTCCCGAATCTTCCTTCTCTCCAGCAAATAATCATTAGCAAGTTAGTTTCTTTCAAAATAAAATAAAAAACCATTCTTCTTCATTTACAGTCATTTCTATGAGGGAGGAGTGCAAGGAATCTACGGATTCCAGAAAGAGCGAGCCTGGAATAGATTTGAGGTAAATATGCATTCTTGTAGCTAGCTAGAGGTACAGATATGATGAATCAGAAGCTTATGTAGAACGTACTTGTATGTGAGGATAATTTAGTTTCTTATTTTCCAGAAGGTTCTCGGGGAAGCATACTCCTACATTGGAACTTACCATCAGTGCCACGGAACTACACCGAATGTAGATTTCCTCTATCAGGTTATTATTCTTTTTACAATTATTTCTAGCATCGACTTTCAAAATCTCTAGACAACGCAAACCAAGTTTTTTTTCAGTTCGCTATTTTGTACACCAAGTACAACGGAGGAGTCGGCCGTGAACAATTTCACAATGCCGCTTGCAACTATCTGGTAAATATTTATCAACAATAATAATCAAAATCTTTCTATTCTTGTTACAGAGAACAAATCTTCCACAAGTCGGACAAGAATTCTTCCGTCAACTCTCCCATGGCTTCCAAAACACACTGACCCTCCAAGACATGGCCGTCACTTTTGCATAAGCTCGCACCGAACTTTTATTCCCCACCTTCTATTCCCACCCTTTCATCGTTATTCTTGAATATCTACCCTTTCCTACTCCCATCTCTTTCTTCCACCTTCATTAATTTTTCACATGTTTTGTTTCCGAATTCCTACTCTTTGTTTCTTTTGAAGTTTTATCTGGTTCCTGAAGTAATTTGAATGAATTTTGAAAATATTAGACAGCGGTCTTATTTGTATATTACTTTGGGTACGAGTCCCATTCATACCAGTTGGTCATAAAACTTTTTGAACAAGCGGTTAAGCTAGTCTTCTATTTCAAAAAGAAGGACTAGTTTTCAACTTGTTTTGAGAGTACACTGACTGTTTTTGAACTCATGGTTATCAATTTCGAACTTAGAAATCGAAAAAGATAGAGGAGAGTATCAGGGTTTTCGAAAATCAAACAACTTTGATTTTGAATACGTTTGAACCTGATGGAGACGGAGAGTTTTTATCCGTTTTCTTCACGGTGAAAATGTAATCAGACGAAGATGAAAGTTCAAGTTCTATTTTGAATATTTGTCAACCTCAATAT